AAGGGAAAACAACAAAGTTCTTACAGAGAAAAACCCAAGCCAGGGGCAAGAGGTCCCTGCTTCTGCTAAAGCACTCCACAAAAGCAATTATTTCCTTTGTTCTCTTCTCTTTCTAGCTAATTACTTAGGTGGGACCTCTTGGCCTCTGTCCAGGTGGCAGCCCCAGGTCTGAGGTGAAGTCCCCAAGGTGCTGTGAAGTGTCTTTAGCAAATTGAGGAGAGAAACTTCTGGGCTTTTTTCCTTTTTAAGCAGACAAAGAATAATTTAGTCACTCCATCAGCAGGGGACACATTCCCACAGGAGGATTTGGGGAATCTGGGGGTTGGTGGGAACAGGGAGCACACCCAGAGCAGCTTTTCCATGTTGGGAATTCCTGCCCTTCCCAGGAGTCACACAGGAGGTGGGGAGGTTTCTGGGAAGCAGGGAGCCCCTGGAAGATGGGGGATCCCTGGGAAGTTGTGGGAGCCCTGGAAGAGGGAATCCCTGGAAGGTTGGGAATCTCTGGGAGGGTTGGAGATCCCTGGGAAGGTGGGGAGTCCTGGTTCACCATTTCCTGGAGATACCAAACAAAGGATGCTGGAAAACCTCGGGATGACCTCAGCATCCCCCAGCATTCCCAGGCCATGTCTGGCCCCTGCTCCAGGTCCTTCCTTGCCAAGGAACACCAGGAATCCTGGTCCCAGAGGGCCCTCCAGGGATGCACATCTGGGCTCCCTGCCAGATGTGGCTCCTGGGGCTGCCCCGGGGCTGCTGCTCCCCCTGGGCCCCTCCTGGGGTTTGGGGGCACCTGAGGGTGGGAAGAGACCTTGGAGACACTTCCAGCCCAAGGAATTCCTTGGGATGTCATTCCCATTTTACAGAGAGAGGAGACTGAGGCCCAGGACAGAGCAAACCTTTCCCAGCTCTGTTCCCTCTGTCCAGAGCGTGGGCAGATTTATGGGAATTAACTGAGGAATTCCCAGATGGAGGTGTGTGGGACCTGCTTTGGCTTTCTCCAAGCAGGAACATCCCCCCTGGAGCTGCTGGCTGGGGATGACAATTCCAGAGCTGGGGAATAACAGTCCCGGCAGTGAGGAATAACAACTTTGCAGCTGGGGATTCCACCAGACCCACCTCCCAGCTCTAGCTGAATCCTCGTTTCCCAATAAATCAGTGCCAGGATCAGCTCCAGCTGTTCATTCCCAGGGGGAATTGGATGTGTTTGGCTAGGCAGGGTGAGAGGGAAGCTCCCGGCTTGTGGCAGCTCTGGGGATTTTAATTCCTGAGTTTTCAGGGATGAGCTTGGTCCCAGCTCTGCTGGAGCTCCCTGTAGAGTTTTCCAGGGATGCTCTTCCCAAAAAAGTCATGTTAAGGCAGCAGCAGGAGTAAAAGCTGAGCTCGCCTCTGCAGCCAGCTGGGAGCAGGTGTGAATTAATCCCAGCTTTAATTCAAGCTCCTTTAATCCTGCTGGGAAAGAGCAGCTCAGGATTTGTTGGGAGACCCTGCCCTGGCAGCAGGAATGGATTTAATGTGTGGAAAAATGCAGTTCTCAAGGAATTCTGGATTGTTCCCAACCTGGAATGCTTTAAAATCTGAATTTCCAGGCTCTGAGAGTGGGGCTGGAGATGAAGGAAGGGGTTGGGCTCCGCCACATCCCAAAATAAGGTTTAAAACTGGGACATGCCAAATCCCAAGGGATTTGGATTGATTTTGAATTTATCTGACCCAATCCAAAGATTTCAGGGCTATTTTTCTCCACAATGATGGATGATTCCATAAAATGGGCTCAGGATTCATTGGGCGACTCTGCTGGGTGCAGGAATGGAATTACTGTATGGAAAAATGCAGTTTCCAAGGAATTTTTTATTAGTTCCAACCTGGAATGGGCTAGAAACTGAATTTCCAAGCCCTGAGAGTGGGGCTGAGGATAAATGAAGTGTTCCCAACATCCCAAACAAGGTTAAAAACTGGGAGGTGCAACCCAAATCCCAACAGACTGGGATTGGTTTTAGTTTCTCTGAGCAAATCTAGGGATTCCAGGATTAATTTTCCCCACGGTGATGGTTGTTTATAAAAAATGGGAAAAGCAGTGGCTCAGCCCCAGAGCTCCAGGAGAAATTCCCAGAAAAAGCCATTTCAAATGATGCTAAAATTGGGAAAAAAGTTGTCAAATTTGGGGTGGGGGAAAAAAAGTCAAATTGTCAATATTTCGTAAAATTTGAAATATTAATAAAATAATGGAAAAATCCCTGGGGCATTCAGAGCCCTCTCCAGTGCCAGGGGTTGCCATGGAGCCCTTTGGGATTTGTTGTGTCCAGGGAAAATTCCTTCAGAAATGAATGGCCCCAAACCCAGAATTTTGGTGCTGCTGGGCCCTCCCTTTTTCCACAATTCCAAGAAATATTTAATCCCCACTAAAGCTCCTGGATCCCAGCACGGGTGTGAAATATTTAGGATGCAGTTAAAAAGTTCTGATCCAGGCATTTCCATCCAAGCTGGGTTTTTAACTTGCCTCTGCTAGCAGCAAACTGGAATTTTGGAAGGAATTGATTTTTGATGAGAAGGGACAATTTTTCCAAGCCAATTCCATGTTTCTTGTTTCATCCTTGTGCAGGAGAAACAAGGAAAGCTCCCTGGGGTTGGCAGCTCCTCTAAAAAAATCCTGTTTCTTTTGTTTTCCTGGGTATCATCACTGATGGAATTCTGCAATTGTGGGGTTTAATCTTCAGTCCCAAAGTTTTTTCCATGCTGTGGCCTTTCCCTCCCTTTCCATGGGCAGCACTGGCTTCATGCCAGGATTTCCCTTTTAAAATTCCAAATCCTGGTGGTTTTAAGATTAATTTGGACACCTGCAGGCTGGATCTTGGTATGGATGGACAGGGATTTACCCATGGACAGACCCCTGGGCATGGGAAATCCATGGAATTAGAGCTGGGGCAGGTGCAGAAATGGGCAGAGGAGTTGTGGATGGAAAATATTTTGGGAAAATTCCTGTTGCCCAACAAATTAAACTAAATGGGATTTTTTTCATCTGAGGTGTCAGAGAATTACTGAGGCAAGCAGATGGAATCTCCTCCGGAGTGCTGGAAGGGGATCAACACCCAGCAGAGCCGTGGGGGTGGGTGGGACCAGCAGGAGCGGGAATAACGGGATGGGAACTGGGGCTGGAGGGTTGGGGGCAGCTTGGGAAGGGTTTGAGCCTGGCCTGGGCTGGGATTTGGGCAGCTGGGGCAGATCCTGGGATGCTGTGGGGCTGTGGAGATGGGATTGGGATGTTCTCCATCACCAAAGGCATTTGGGAAGAGCTGGCAGGAGTTTGTTTTTGGGAATGTGGGAATGTGTGATTTGGGGCTGGGGTTGTCCCGGAAGTGACAGCAGTGAGGTCTCCAGAATTCCAGACTCCTGGGTGAGCTCTTGACCATGGCTTTGCTGAGCTGGGAGGTGACACCCTGGAGGGGCTGGAAGGGAGGGGATGTAAGCACCGGGATGCTCCTGTTTGTCCTGGCAAATCCCAACCTAAACCCATCCCACCTGTGGGGTCTCGCTGTGTTTGCCTTGGTGGCCCCTGGGTGAGCAGGGTCTGTTTAGGTGGGATTGTGGGAAGGAATTCCTCCCTGGCAGGGTGGGCAGGCCCTGGCACGGGGTGCCCAGAGCAGCTGTGGCTGCCCCTGCATCCCTGGCAGTGCCCAAGGCCAGGCTGGACACTGGGGCTGGAGCAGCCTGGGACAGTGGGAGGTGTCCCTGCCATGGCAGGGGGGGCACTGGGTGGGCTTTGAGGTCCCTTCCCAGCTCAAACCATTCCAGGATTCCATGATCCTCTGAGGAAAATCCTCCTGGGAGAAGGCAGCAGATCCCTTTGCCAACAGAGTTAAATCCTGAATTCCTGAGATCCACAAAACCTCATCCAGTGTCCCCTCATTGTCCCCTTGTCCTCTGCCTGTGTCCTCCCACCCCTCTTCATGCAGACCCTGGAATGGCTGGGATTCCCTGCTCCCAAGGTTCTCCAAGAGCTGTTAGAAATTGAAAAGCACAATGAGATTGTAGAAAAATGCTACGGAATAGTGGGAGGCTGAGGAATGATTCATCCTCCAACAGAATCTCCTCAGATGTGGAGGTGGCACTGCTGGCCACCAGCGTGGATCCAGATCCAGGAGTATTCCAGGTTTAGGTCAAATTGGGCCTTGTTAACAACTTCCTCTGTCAGTCCTTAGTCCCAGATGGAATCTGGGGTTTGCTGGGATGTGAGAGCAGCAGGAATCCTGAGGAGAATTCTGAGAGGAGGTGACACCCCCAGGTGTGTGGGGACAGGAGCCCACAGGGCTGATCTGAGCTCATCAATTCTGCTTCCAAAGCCATTTTGTGACTTTTGTCCACTTGTTTTAGTGGAAAAGAGGGACTGACCTCAAGTTACTCCACATGGATTTGGGATGCGGGAACCTCCCATCACTCCGAGCTCTGATGTGTCCAAGCCCAAAAGGCTTTTCCAGCTTGGAGCAGCTGCCAAACCCAAAATTCCTTGAAATTTAGGACATTTTTAATGTAATTTTATGACCAACATTCCCAAGTGGCCTCGGGCTGTGCCAGGGGTGGGACAGCAGAGGGGCATCCATGAATTCATGAATCTTCAGTACTGGAGCCCTCCTGGAGAGTGGGAACAGCTCAGATTGGAGAGGGAGGGGCTGGTTTGGTTTGGTGATGTGGGAATGTCACCAAAGTGTCCTGGAACAAAATCTGCAGCTGGAACCAAATTTTCCAGCTGGAAAGGGGAGGTTTTCTCCTGGTTTCTCTTCCTTGAAGTTCAGAGTAAGCTGGAGCCACTGTTCCATGGAGGGGGAGCGGGGATCAGGGCCCGGGGATGCTCCTGGTGCCAAGGGGAGGTGATTTGGGATGAGGCCCAGGAGTGGTCTGCTCCTGGTAAATCCTGCTGCTGGATCTCCTCCCTCAGTTATCAGGGATCTGATCATCCAAGTGGGAACATTCCAGCTGTTCTCGAGCTCCTTAACCTCCCCCTTCTCTTCCAGAGGAAACGACGTTCGAGGCTGGAGTCAAGGTGCAGATCCACAGCCAGTCCGAGCCTCCCTTCGTCCAGGAGCTGGGATTTGGGGTGGCCCCCGGATTCCAGACCTTTGTGGCCACCCAGGAGCAAAGAGTAAGTCCCAAATTCCCGTTCCACCCCAGGATCCCTCCAGAGATTCCTCCTGGGTTCCTTCTCCATAATTGATGCCCCTTGAAATGCAGCTCCATTATTAAGAGGTTTTTGATGCCTTGCTTCAAATTTCCTGGGATGAGGGCAACTTTTCCAAGTTATCCCCCATGGTTATTCCCACAGTCCTGCATTCCCACAGTTCCTTAAAGTCCCACAGTAATTCCATCTCCAGAACTGATTTTATCCCTGGTGACTTCCCTGCTTTGCTCTTCCATGGCTGGAGCTGAGCTGTGGCAACTCTGAGTGCTGGGTCCTGTCCAGCCCACTGGGGTTTTTCCAGAAAAAACTCATTCCAAGGATATAAAAAGAGGCAGGAGGACAGAGCTTCCTGATGGAGAACAGCAGGAATCTTTCAGATGACACCAAAATATCCACATGACTGATGACAAACTCTCCTGGGATACCTGGGAATCATCGTCTTCTGTGGAATCATCCATCCCCATGGATGGATGGATGGATGGATGGATGGAGTGATGGATGATGGATGGATGGATGGATGGATGGATGGATGGATGGATGGATGGATGATGGATGGATGATGGGCAGCTGTGGAAAGGGCTGGACAGGGTATCATGTGGTACCTGATGCTCAGATTTTGGGAACAGCTCCTCGAGTCAGACCCACCTGGCAGCTCCAGCAGTGATTGAAAAGATTTGCCTTCCTTAAAAATCCCATCCTGGATGAAATTTGGGAGCAGGGCAGGGAGCTGGAGCCTGCAGAGAGGATCTCAGGGACTTTGGGTTAAATTGGTGCAAATTCAAGGCTTCCTGCAGCTGCTGGAATCCTTCCCCACCCCACTGCCAGCACTGCCTATTCCAAAATTTCCATTGAAAAATGAGAAATCCAACCAGAACATCATCCAGATGAGAGAGAGGGGAAAACATTCCTCCCCAGATCCCCCCTTCCACATGGGAGATGTAGAGGACAGAAGAACAGATTTAGGGACTCTCAGCTCCAGGGTGTTCCCTTTTCCGGGGGTTTTGCCAGAGTTTTGCTGATGGGAGAGGGAAGGGCTCATTCCTGGGATTTTCTGACTGGTTTAAAATCATCTGAGGGCTCCAAAGCCTTCTCTCAGGAGAGCTGGAGGGATCTCCAGCATTCAGTTCCCACCCCAAACCTTCTTCCCATAAAGTAATTTTTAACCTAATTACAGTCATTAATAACTTCCTCTAATTAATTATTAGTCCTCAGGGACCTTGGGTTTCCCCCACCTTCCCAGTGTGCAGCTTTTATCCCAGTCTGTGATTTAGTCTGGGTTTTCCAACTAAATCTCTCTGCTTGTGTTGCTCCTTTAATAAACAAGAGCCAAAAGTGGAACAGCTCCAGGAAAATCCCCCAGAAACTGAGCCCAGGCAGTTATTGGGGTCCTGAAGAACCTAGGGTTTTACATCCTGCACCATAAATATAAATGATCCTGCAGCTGGAAAAAAATCAGGAACAAAGAAAAAGTGGAGCTGATTTTCCATCTTCCAGCTCAGAGCAGCCTTCAGGAGTTAAAAACTTTTTTTCTGGGGATAAAAAGTGTGGAATGGGGAAGATTTGGGATGGTGGGAGCTGTGGATCCTCTGTAGGACAGAATTTGGGGTGTGGAGGGTTCATTCCTGCCTCTGGAATAATTCCCTGTGGCCCTGCTCAAATCCTTTCTTTCCCCATCCCACTCTGGAAATCAGAGCATTCCCTGGGCATTGCTCCCTGATTTTCTGCCTTCCCAGGGCTGCAGCTGCTCAGCACCAGTGAAGATTCACATCTTGGGACCAGGGCATAAATCCTGGCTTTCCACCCAGAGCTTCCCAAAATCCCTCTGTCCAGAGCCAGCTCTGGTCCGTGGTTGGCATCTCATTAAAAATCTCCCTTCACAATGAGCTCTCAGGCTGGAAAAATGGGAATTAAATCAGCTTTGCTCCTCCTCCTGCAGTGGCTGAGCCCCGTGATTCCTGCAAGGAGACACTTCTGGGATGCATTTCCCACCTTGGGAGTTAATGCAGGAGTGACCTTGGGAGGGACCTGGCAGTGGCAGGGTGGAAATGCTGAGTCAGCAGCAAAAACTCCTGAGAAAGCAATTCCAGCAGGAGCTTTGTCCATAAAATGTGGTGGATGGGTTAAAGAGACGAAGCTGCTCCTGGACACGTGGCCACGGGAGGTGTTTCCTGGTTAAAATAAACGTGGGATTGTTCATCCTGGAGGAGACACCAGGGGTGACCGAACTTGGACCTTCCAGGACCTGAAGGGGCAGCAGGAAAAATGGAGAGGGAATATTTCCAAGGCATGGAGGGACAGGACACAGGGAATGGCTCCCACTGCCAGAGGGCAGGGCTGGATGGGAGATTGGGAATTAGGAATTGTTCCCTGGCAGGGTGGGCAGGCCCTGGCACAGGGGGCCCAGAGCAGCTGTGGCTGGCCCTGGATCCCTGGCAGTGCCCAAGGCCAGGCTGGACATTGGGGCTGGGAGCAGCCTGGGACAGTGGGAGGTGTCCCTGCCATGGCAGTGGTGGCACTGGGTGGGCTTTGAGGTCCCTTCCAACCCAAACCATTCCAGAATTCCATGGAAATCCCAGAGTGAAGCAATCCCTGAAGCTCAGGGCAGCCAGGGCTGAGCTCCCTGAGGGAAGCAGGAGCCAGTACACGGTAGATGATGGAAGGAGAACAGGAGGGTCTGGGTGGAAAATCCTCCCTGGATTCCCTCCCTGCCCAGGAGCAGAGGGAAAGGAGCAGGAGGGGTTCCCAGGGAGCCCTGAGCTGCTGCCCTGGGGCTTTCACCCCATTTCCCATGGGATGACACCCCAAAGTCCCATCCCAGCTGGGTTCCCTGTGCCTCTCCAGGGTGCTCTGGGATCTCTGGGAGCATTTCCATGGCAGTTCCTGAGTGCATGGATGAGGCTTGTGTGCTCATGAACAGGAGCTGGCACAGGGAAGGATCCATCACCTCCTGAGGGATTCCGAGGGAGGCCAGGACCCCCTGGAATTGGGAATTGCCCTTCAGCTCCCACCACTGCTGGCTTTGGATGGATCCCTTTCCGTTTTCCCCTTTCGTGGCACTTTTGGGTGAGCCTGTTGTTGGAATCTCCCGCTCCAGACCTTGGGAAGCTGCACTATCCCTGCAATATTCCCCTTTTCCCTGACCATGGCACCAAGGCTTGGAGGGACACACTAAAAACCATACTTTGAAGGGCTGATCCCGTGGAGAAAGAGAAATTCCTCCTTCATCCAGGGCTGATCCCGTGGAGAAAGAGAAATTCCTCCTTCCTTCCCCTTTTCCAGGCTGCTTTTTGCAGCATCTCAGCATCACCTAAACCTCTTCCATCAGTAGTGGGATCAGACTTCCCAACAGAGCTGCACAGCACTTTCAGGGAAGATGGGAAGCACCTGGAAAAGGGCAATTCCTGCCAAGTTGGCCATAAAAATTCAGTGAAGCCCTGGGTTCTGAGCTGGAGCAATGTTGTTTGATGGGGGTCTGGAGACTCATCCCCTCCAAAGGTTTTATGGGATAGAGAGCAGAGCTACAGACCTGCAGATCCAGAGTGGGATTAGAGAGGCAGGAAAATGGGATTCAGGGCCGGCAGTGATGGCTGGGAAACCCAGTCAGGGTGGAAGCACTGGGGTTTGGGAATTAGGAGGAATCAAAGAACACTTCACGTGTTTGAGGAGTCATTTTACAAGGGATGGGGTGCCAGAACACAGGGAATGTGTGTCCAGAGAATTCCTTCCCAATGTCCCATCCATCCCTGCCCTGTCCCTGTCCCTCCCACTGCAGAATATTGGGAAGGAATTCCTGGCTGGGAGGGTGGGGAACCCCTGGAATGGATTTCCCAGAGCAGCTGTGGCTGCCCCTGGATCCCTGGAAATATCCCAGGCCAGGCTGGACAGGGTTTGGAGCAGCCTGGGGCAGTGGGAGGTGTCCCTGGGGATGGAATTGGATGAGTTTTAATGTCCCTCCCAAACCAAACTATTCCATAATTCCATGGACTCACATTTCCTAACCCTTGCTCCAAGCATTTTCTCCCACCATGGTCTGACCCCTCCTGGAATCACTCCCTGATTTCTTTGTTCCCCTCAATCCCACAAACTCTCCCAGTGGATTCCCTCCAATTTATCCTTACATTCTGAATTAATTCAAGAAGGAGATCCCATAAAACCAATCCCACAGAACCTTCATGGCACAGGAGTAGTTTGAAGCAGGAGATGGAAGAAAACTTAGAATCTGTAGGGCAGGAGAGGGGTTTTGGTTGGGAAACAGCATTGGGAGGGAATTGGGAATGGATGCAAAGGAAAGTGGAAAAATGAGGGAAGGGATGGAGATGAGGCAGAGCCTGGAAGAGGAAGAGAGTGGGAAGGGAGGTCAGGAAGAGCCATCAGATCCGAGGATGAGGGAATGGTTTGGGTTTCCTGCTCCCCCTGTACCCTGTGGAAAAGAGGATTTTATAAAAAGTGAGGACAGGAAAACTTCAGAGTCCAAAGAAGGATCCTGGAGCTCCAAAATCCCAATTTTCCCTGGGCACTTGTAGGCCCTGAGCTCTGCTCCAAGGGACTCCCAGAGGCTGGAAGGGTCAAATTCATCCCTGAAAACCAATTCCTCAGGAAGGGAGCAAATGGGAAGGAACAGGCAGGATGGGAAAGGAGCTGGAGATGCAAACAGACAATTCCAGCACCATTAACTGGGAGCTGGGATCAGCCAGACATGGCTGCTCTGGGTTTCTCAGCATTCCACAAGGGCTGGAGCTGCCTGGGATGGAAATTCCAAGAAGCTGCTGCTGCTGGATGTCTCCTTAAGGAACAGAGAGTTCTGGTTCTTGTTTCATTGGGAACCCAGCCCAGGTGGGGATGTTCAGGGAGGGCTTGGATCCTTCCTTGGGATCGCTGGAGTTTGGTGCCATCAGCCACGTGAGGGGGTCTGGGCAGGCACTGGTGCTGGATCCATCCCAGATCCAGATGGAAATGGGGCAGGGAAAGGTTCTTCCCCAGAGGTGCTGGCACTGCCCAGGGAATGGTCCCAGGCCCAAGGCTGCCAGAGCTCCAGGAGGGTTTGGACACCACTCCAGGGATGCTCAGGGTGGGATTGCTGGGATCCTGTGCAGGGCCAGGGCTGGGACTCAGTCCATGTGGGACCCCTCCCAACCTGGGATATTCCAGGATTTTATCAAACTGCTCTGACCTCTGCTGGGATCATCTCCACCACATTTCCCTGTTTGAGAAAATGAGACAGGCAGGAAAAACAGGGATAGCACTTCCAGTTAATTGAAGGGGTGACCTCTGTGGCTGTGGGCAGATGCTGCAGCTCCCGGGAGGCTCTGTGCCAGCAGCAGTGTGGAAAGGCAGGAATGTGGCCAGGGAAGGGCTGTGGCAGGAGCTGATCCTCCCCTGCCCCAGGATCTCTTCCCTCCAGGTTTTCCAAGCTTATCCCTTTTTTTTTCCTGGCACTTGGGACAAGCAGAATCCATTCAGCTTCCAAGGAGTCAAATCCATCTTTTCCTTCCCCTTTTAGCACCTGCCAGCTGGGAACTAATCCTGGTAATCCTGGAGAAAGCTGGGATCAGGAGGGCTGGAAAAGCATTTAATTCAGTAATTAATTATTAATGACTGCAAAAGGGCCAGACTGGGAGTTGGTCTCCCTCAATTAAAGGCTGGAGCTGGATTTCTCTACACAGGAGCAGGAGGAGGAGCCCTGGGGAAGCTGCCAGGGAGCACAAATCCTGCAGGATCCGAGGGCAGGGATGTTCCTGCTGCCTTTTCCCTGCTTTTCCTGATGCTTTGCTGTGGTTTATTCCCACTTTGGGAGCAGCAGGGGAGGCTGGATGTGGCATTCACATTCCCTGAACAGAGAGAGACATAATTCTCTCACAGGATTTTTCCTGGGAAGGCAATGAGAAGCACAGAGAGAAGAAAACAATTCTTATCTCAACTTGCTGCTCCTGTTGTTTAACACATGTGGAGTGTGTTATGGAGATTGTTTAGCTGAAGTGATTTGTCAGTTGGATTCTGCTGAGGATTGTTTTGTTTCCTTGGCCAGTGGGGTCAAAGCTGTGTCCGGGCTGTCTCAGACAGCCAAGGGTTTTCCTTTAGTGTTCCTTAGTATATTTTTAGTATAGTTATGATACAGGATCAGTGTAATATAGTGTAGTGTTAATAAAGCAATTGTTCAGCATTCTGAATCATGGATCAGATGCCAATCATTCCCCACCCTGGGGTCACCCTGCATTCCATAGGTGGAGGGAGCAGCCCCACATCCCGGGGTTGATCCCTCCCACCAACCCCATACTGGGATAATCTGGCAGAAAGGAAAGGGAATCCCTCAGGAACCCCTCAGGAGGAGGGGGAGGAGGATCTGGAGAGGCTGCAGGGAGAGGGATCAAGCCCAGTGAAGTCTCTCCTGTTAATTCTTCCAAGGCTGAGGGCTGGGATTGCTCCATCCATCCTGCTGCTGCTCCTTGGGGTGCCTTTGCCAGCGGCTCCAGGGCCACGAGAGCAGGAATCCAGGTCTGAAAGGAGTTCAGCAGCTCCACAGGATCCAGCTCCACAGGATCCAAACCTCTTTCCTGAGGTTTCAGCCCTGATTTGGCCAGGAAGGGATTCAGGGGAGCACTTAGGGGTGGATTCCCCTTGGATTTAAGCCCAGAGATTCTTGTGCCAGGCTGGGAGCCGCAGCTGGGGGAAAACTCCCCACATTTCCAGGGAATGTGCAGATCTTCCTGCTGGGGACAGTTTGGTGGAGCTTTTCCAGTTTGTAAAGCGAAGTCTGCGAGGCAGAAATTCCAGCTGATCCCTCCATAGCTGCTGCCACTCCCGAGACGTTCATTGTCACCTCCAGGATGCTCATTGTCACCTGGAGTGTTGTTGTGTGGCACGGGGACAGCTTGTCCCAGTGAGTTATCCCAGCAGTCAGGGAGCTCCTCGGAGGGGGGATGCCCTGAGGGACTGCAGGGGCTGCTCTGTGACAGAGGACGTGTCCTGCCCTGTCCCTTCCCTCTCACTGGCCCTGGCCCTGTCCTGCAGCTCATGTCCCTGTCCCCAGCTGATGTCCGTGTGCCATCCCTGTCCCCAGCTGACATACCTGTCCTCTGCTGATGTCCCTGTCCCTGTCCCCAGCTGATGTCCGTGTGCCATCCCTGTCCCCAGCTGACATACCTGTCCTCTGCTGATGTCCCTGTCCCTGTCCCCAGCTGATGTCCCTGTCCCCAGCTAACCCCTGTCCCTGTGGTGTCCCCAGTTGACAGCCTTGTCCCTGTCCCTGTCCCCAGCTGATGTCCCTGTGCTGTGCTGTCCCCAGCTGACATATCTGACCTCAGCTGATGTCCCTGTGCTGTCCCTGTCCCCAGCTGACCCCTGTGCTGTCCCTGTCCCCAGCTGACGTACCTGCCCCCGCCGTGGGGCGAGTGCCGCTCCCCAGAGCTGGGGCTGGCGTTTTTCCCGGTGTACAGCGTCACGGCCTGCAGGATCGACTGCGAGACACGCTACATCGTGGAGAACTGCAACTGCAGGATGGTGCACATGCCAGGTGGGGGACAGGGGACACCAGGGACAGCTGGGGATGGGCTGGGGATGGGCTGGAGGGATGATTCACGTGCCAGGTCAGGGACAGGGGGGACAGCTGGGGACACCTGGGGACAGCAGGGATGCCTGGGCATGGGCTGGAGGGACAGTCAGGGACAGGGGGGACAGCTGGGGACACCTGGGGTTGGGTTGGAAGGACAGTCCACATGCCAGGTCAGGACAGGGACACCTGGGGGACAGCTGGAGCATAGACTGGAGGGACAGGCCACGTGCCAGATGAGCGACAAGGACACCTGGGGACACCTGGGGTTGGGTTGGAAGGACAGTCCACATGCCAGGTCAGGACAGGGACACCTGGGGGACAGCTGGAGCATAGACTGGAGGGACAGGCCACGTGCCAGGTCAGTGGCAAGGACAGCTGGGGATGGTCTGGGGATGGGCCATGTGCCAGGTCAGGGACAGGGGGGACACCTGAGGACACCTGGGGATGGGCTAGAGGACAGTCAAGGACATGGACACATTGGGGGACAGCTGGGGCTGGGCTGGAGGGACAGGCCACGTGCCAGGTCAGTGGCAAGGACACCTGGGGGACACTGAAAGCTGGACTGGAGGGGCAGCCATGTGCAAGGTCAGGTACAGGGACACTAGGGGACACCTGGGGCATAGACTGGAGGGACAGGCCACATGCCAGGTCAGGGACAGGGACAGCTGGGTACACCTGGGAATGGGCTGGAGGGACTGGGGGTACCTGAGGGAAGAAGGTGCCTGTGGCCTTTGGGAAAGGCTGGATGTGAGCCAGCAGGGCCATCCCTGTCCTGGGGCATCAGGGACAGCAGAGGAACAGGGAGGGACTGTCCAGCCCTGCTCTGGGTTGGGGCAGCCTCAGAGTTGAACCAAGAGTTCTGGGGCAGTTTTGGGCACCACAAAATAAAAAAGACATCAAAGAACTCGAGAGGGTCCAAAGGAGGGACATGAGGATGGGGAAGGGTCTGGAGGGGCCACACGAGGAGCAGCTGAAGGCACTTGGAGTGTTCAGGTGGAGCAGAGGGGGCTGAGGGCAGAGCTCAGTGAGATCAATGTCCTCAGGAGGGGCACAGAAGGGGCAGCTCTGATCTCTGCTCGCTGTGACAGGGACAGGACCCCGGGAATGGCTGGAGCTGTGCCAGGGGAATTTGGGATGAAGATCAGGGAAAGGTTTTTCCTCCAGAGGGTGCTGGGCACTGCCAGGGATGCACCGGGTGGGATTGTTGGGATGTCTGGGCAGGGCCAGGGGTGGGACTGGATAGTCCTGGGGGTCCCTTCCAACCCAGGATATTCCATAACTCCCTGTGAAACAGGGCCAAGCCATGGAAGAGAGACCTGGGTCTGGTTAGGGTTGGAAAAGGCTTCTGGGACCATCAGATCCCACCTTTCTTAGCTCCAGTGCCCCCCCGGGTGCTGTTCCCAGCAGCTCCTGCAGGACACGGCCCCTGTGGCAGGCAGAGCTGGGGACAGCGGGGTCCCCTGACTGCAGGGGGGTCTCTGGGTCCCCAGGGAGAGCCCGGTGTCCCCCTGTGATGGCTTTGTCCTGTCCCTGCAGGGGATGCTCCCTTCTGCACCCCGGAGCAGTACAAGGAATGCGCAGAGCCGGCGCTCAGTGAGTACCGGGAATGCCTGAGCCGGGAGAGGGAATGTTCATGGAATTCCAGCGGCCTGGATGCTGCTGGCTGGCAGGAACAGGGGATCTGCAGCCCGGAAAGGGGCTGGGATTAGCCTCAGGTTGCTGGGAAGTGCTGGATGCATGCTGGGATGAAGTTTCTCCTGGTTCTCCATGAGCACAGAAACCCTTGGGATCAGGGGAGCTCCAAGAGCCCTCCAGGGGTTGAATTTGGGGTGGAGGGACCCATTCCAAGCCTGGGTTTAGGGACTCAGCCACGAGTTCTCCAAGCTGTTGTTGATGACAGTGTCACCTCCAGCAAGCAACCTCTCAAAGGGGATGAGAACTGGGATGAACTGGGAGAGAAGTGTCCAGAGTGAGAAATGTCCCCTTGGTCCCTTTGTGGGAGGGATGATCTCTGCTCCTGCCCTGCTCCATGTCCCTGTCCCTGCCCTGCTCCAAGGGTCCCTCCCTGCTCCGTGGGACCCCGTGTGCTCCATGCCTGCCCCCCTGCAGGTCTCCTGGCAGAGAAGGACAGCAATTACTGCATCTGCAGGACCCCCTGTAACCTCACCAGGTACAACAAGGAGCTCTCCATGGTCAAGATCCCCAGCAAGACCTCGGCAAAGTACCTGGAGAAGAAGTTCAACAAGTCGGAAAAATACATCTCGTGAGTGGGGGAGGACCTGAATTCATTTGGATTTTGGGAGGGAAATGTCTGGGAAATGCCCAGTCCTGGCCAATCCATCCCCAGCACAGAGATGCCCTTCAGGGAAGAGCAGAGTGATAACATGGGAGAGATGAGGTTGATTTCTCCTCTGTAGATATCCTCTCTGAGTTCCTTCCCAAGGATTGTCCTCATGGGAATCCCCAGTCCCACCAAAACAAATACAAAATTTCCCACTTTGCTGGTCCTGTTGGAGATTGGTATCTCTGGGCTGAGCTCCTCAGACCATGGAGCTCTCCCAGCCCTGGGCATCTGATTGCTGTGTGTGGGAAGTGAGAGTTCTTCCAGATCCCTTGGATTCTCTTCCCAGAATCACAGAATCCTGGAAAGGTTTGGGTTGGAAGGGACCTTAAACCCACCCAGTGCCACGCCTGCCATGGCAGGGACACCTCCCACTGTCCCCAGATGCTCCAAGCCCCAGTGTCCAACCTGGCCTTGGGCACTGCCAGGGATCCAGGGGCAGCCCCAGCTGCTCTGGGCACCCTGTGCCAGGGCCTGCCCACCCTCACAATCAGGAATTTATCATCGAAGAGAAGAGTTCCCAGCAAAGTGAGATCCAGGATCCTGAGGAGTTCCGAGGAAACCTTTCCCAGCTGCTCCAAAGGTTCCAGAGCTCTCAGGGTGCCCTGAGCTCCTGGTCTGCACCAGCTCCAAGTTCTGTGGGGTCTGAGAACCCCAGAGAGAGGAACAATCATATAAAGGGGAATAAAGCCCCAAAATCCCGTTTTTCCCTTATCCCAAAGGATTGAGCCACCAATGGCTCCTGGGCTGAGGTTTTCCCTGTTCCCACAGAGAGAATATTCTCGTGCTGGACATTTTTTTTGAAGCACTCAACTATGAGACCATTGAGCAGAAGAAAGCCTATGAAGTGGCAGCCTTACTTGGTAAGGGGGGGCTGGGACCAGTTTGGGGTCTCTACTGGTCTGGGAGGGACAGAGAGAGGCTGGGAGGGGTCCACAGCCTTGAAACCCCAGCAAGGCCCATGTCTGCTTTCCTCACCCCCCCACGGCATCCCAGGGATGTCCCCATGGATACTCTGTGTGTTCATGGAAGGTTCTGGAGCTGCTCCGTGCCTGCCTGCTCCCTTTTTTGGAGATTTTGGGTCTGGGTGGGCGCTGGGTGCCCTCTGTGGTGCAGGGTGTGGAGGGCATCCCAAAACCATCCCCCCATCACCTCTTCCCTGTTCCAAATCCAAGGTTTTAAGCCAGGCTTGAGCTCTTGGCCTTCAGCTGCTTCATGGAGGAGGAGGAGACCCAGGGAAGGTTCTGCTCCATCCCTGCCTGCTCCCAGCACCCCAGCTTTTGGGGATTCTGCTCCCCTGGGCAGTGTGTGGGAGAGGACATCCCAAAGCCATCTCCCATCACCTCTTCCCTGCTCCAAATCCATCCTTTCCAGCTGGGCCTGAGCTCTTGGCCTTTGGATGCCTCATGAAGGAGCTGAAGGAGACCCATGGGAGGTTCTGCTCCATCCCTGTTCCCATTTTTGGGGGATTTTGGGGCTGGGTGCTCTCTGTGCTGCTCCCTGGGCAGGGTGGGGAGGACATCCCAAAATCACATCTCCATCACTCTTCCCTGCTCCAAATCCTTCCTTTCCAGCAGGAGGTGGAGGAGACCCACCCATGGAAGGTTCTGGAGGTGCTCCATCCCTGCTTGCTTTCAGCTCTCTGTTTTTGGAGATTTGGGGTCGGGTGGGTGCTCTCTAGGGTGCAGGGTGTGGGGGACATTCCAAAACCATCTCCCCGTCACCTCTTCCCTGCTCCAAATCCACCTTTTCCAGCCAGGCCTGGGCCCTTTGGATGCCTCATGGAAGAGCTGCAGGAGACCCTGAGCTGCTCAGCCCCAGATCAGCTCCAGCCTTGGGGTCCCAGCTGCAGATTTGGGGTTGGCCCCACTGGGTTTGGGGTGGGGGTGAGCCCTCCCCCAGCCCTGCAGCCTCCCTGGATCCCTCTGGAATGCTGGGAGTGCTCAGCCCCTTGGGAAGCTGGAGCTGGGTCACCCCTGGGGCACAGAGGTGTCCCCATGTCACCCCCCATGGCTGGCCCTGCCACATGGCCCCTCAGGAGCCCTTTGCATCTCCTGGGGATTTTCCAGGAATTCCAGACGGGAAGAGGAGGCTGCTGGAGTCTCTCTGACCAGTTTGCACCTCATAGGACCCTCATTCCCATGCTCTGGAACTTCAGGAACAGCCTCATCTCAGAATATTTCTCCCAGGCTCAAAGCCTCCCAGTGAATCCTCCTGGTGTAAACCCAGAACACCTCCTGGGATCATTCAGTGTTCTCACCTTGATCCCAAATTTCTCCCCTCTTTCCTCTCTCCGTGTCTCATGGACACTCCTGGAAAAGACCCCTTCCCCCCACCCATGGGTGCCTTTGCTCTGGGGGTCAATCCAGGGCTGTTTTCCAACTAAATCCATGGGATTTGCTTCCCTGAGCACCACATCCCAGTCACCTTCCCAGCAGATTCCTGGGAATCTCCTTTCCTCAGGTTCCTCTTCCACCCCAGGACTCTCAAGCAGAAGCTGGGAGATGCTTCCCAAAAAACCCAGGGCACCTCCCTTCCCACTTTTTGCCAGGTTGGGGTTTCTCCTTGGCTCCAGGGACGTTGATTCTTCCCAGCACCTTCCCCAGAGTGGGAACTGGGATTCCTGGGATGCAGCCTGGAGGGCTCCAGGCTCCATTAGCAGGAAAACCATCGGGAAGCTGCCGATGCCATTGCAGACCCTGCTGCTCTGGGGAATTGTTCCCAGTTTTTGAGGACGGCAGGGGCCAGGCAGGGCCCGGCAGTGCCCGGGAGCCCTCACGGTGCTGTCCCCTGCAGGTGACATTGGTGGCCAGATGGGGCTGTTCATCGGGGCCAGCATCCTCACCATCCTCGAGCTCTTCGATTACCTGTATGAGGTAAGGCCTTCCCAGCCCCCAGCCCAGGATATCCCACCCTGGAGACCCCCAGCCCCAGATATCCCACTCTGGAGACCCCCAGCCCTGTTTTTCCCACTCTGGAGACCCCCAGCTCTGTTTTCGCCACTCCTGGTGCCCCTTATCCCCAGATTTGCCACTCATGGGTTTCCCCATCCTGGTGTCCCTCATCCCTGGATTTCTGATGTCTCTCATCCCCAGATTTGCCCTTCCTGGTGCCCTTTATCTGGTACACTGTATTTCTGATGTCTCTCATCCCTGGATTTCCCTTTCCTGCCCCTCATCCCTGGATTTGCCCCTCATCCCTGGATTTCCCATCCTCAAGCCCCTCATCCCTGTTTTCACACTTCTGATGCCCCTCATCCCTGGATTTTCTGTTCCCTGGGGATCCCAGAGCCCCCCCAAAATCCTGTATTTCCAGTCTGCCTCATCCAGCTCTCACACAGCCCCAGCTTGGGGTGGGAACAGGGAGTTTTATTGCCATGGGATAGGAGAGTTTTCCATTTGATTTATCATTGTCCATTTGATTTAATGAGTCCCAACCCAGGCTGGGGACACGTCCCATTCCAGGAAAGGGAACCTCACAATCCCAGCTCTGAACTCACTTCAAATCCCCTCTTTTTTTTTTTTTTTTCAATATTTTTATATTTTCAGACAATTGCCCCAATCCCAATCCCTCCTGGGCAGCTCCAGCATTGGTGCCATTAACCAGGAATAAAAATTATGGAAAAATTCCAGGGCTAAAGCTCAGAGATGAACAAAAGCTGAGCCTGAATTTAGAGCTCAGCCTGGATACCCAAGTATTTCATCAAATTTTCCTTTTCCTGGATTTCTTGGGGATTTTTCCCAAGTAGGCCATAGAAACTTCACAAATTAGGGTTTTTCCTCTGTTTTCCTCCTTTCTTTCACATCTCCTGATAAAATTTGTCAAATGTGGGGGGTTCTGCACTTTTTAATTTTTCTTCTTATTTGGGCTTAAAATTAATTTTGTCCCCTCAAAGAAGCTCCCTGGGGTTGCCCCAGCAAGGGAATCTTCACAATCCCAGATATATAACCTCTGCCAGCCAGGAAAAAGGAATAAAATACCTTGAAATTAAAAAAAAAATCCCCACAGTTTCTCCTCTCTGCTCTGAGTTTCACAAAGTGGGGGGTCACTACTTCAAAAAATTGAGTTTTCAGCCAAAATATTTAGACATTCTGGGAATGTCTAAACCACATACAGTTTTTTTTCATGGATTGGCCAAATTTGGGGAAAATATTGACCATAAAGAGGCTTTTTTGTGATTTTTTGCCAAGCTCTGTCATCCTGGTCCCAAATTCCCACCACACTTCCCTGCACCAGCCAGGATCCACATTCGTTAGGAATTGACCCAATTTTTGGGGATTTCAGGATTTCAGCTTTCTTCTTGTTGGTTTTATTTCTCTTTTCTCCCAGTGGGAGCTTTCCAGTAAAACACTTCCCAAGTTTTATAGGATTTCCCTGGAAGCCAAATCCTGTAGCAGCAGGAAGATGAGGGGGCTGGGAAGGGAAATGGAGCTCAGAGAGCTGGAAGGTTTCCCTGAACCCCAAAAGTGTCCCAAAAATGGAATTTTTGGGGGGTTCTATTCCTTGTAAGAGAATCCTGGCATGGTCTGGATGGAAGGGACCTTAAGGATCATTGAATTCCCACCCCTGCCATGGCAGGGACACCTCCCACTGTCCCAGGCTGCTCCAAGCCCCAATGCCCAGCCTGGCCTTGGGCACTGCCAGGGATCCAGGGGCAGCCACAGCTGCTCTGGGCACCCTGTGCCAGGGCCTGCCCACCCTGCCAGGGAACAATTCCTAATTCCCAATTTCCCATCCAGCCCTGCCCTCTGGGATATTAATATTAATATTATTAATAGTGGCTAATATAGTTATTATTAAGATTTTTATTAAGATAATATTATTAGTTATAATTAATATTATTTATATTAATTACTGGTATATATAATATTATCTATTATGTAGAGTGAACGATCTATTTAGTTAACATCCAGTGAACATGTAATGAAGACCCTACTCAGTATCAACATCTACTGTCTCAAGAAAATATTCCCTGTGTCCTGTCCCTCCATCCCTTGTCCCCAGTCCCTCTCCAGCTCTCCTGGAGCCCCTTCAGGCCCTGCCAGGGGCTCTGAGCTCTCCCTGGAGCTTCTCCTCTCCAGGTGAGCACCCCCAGCTCTCCCAGCCTTTCCCTGGCCCAGCCCTTGGAGCTTCCTCCTTCTCCCGGCCCTTTGGAATGCAGCCCCAAACCCAGCACACCCCAGTGCTCCCCATCCCCCTGCAGCCTCTTCTCACCCTAACCCTGGCTGCCTCTTCTTGCAGCTGATCAAGGAAAAGTTATTGGACCTTCTTGGAAAAGAGGAAGAGGACGGGAGCCATGACGAGAACGTGGTAAGGAGAGGGGGGCTGACACAGGGGTCTCCTCCAGCCAGCTCCTTTGAGCTCCTGGAGATCTGTATCACACCCAAGGTAGCTCAGCCACCTCAGATGGCATAAAATCAGCAGGATGGCTTCTGTGGTGGTGTTGGAAACAGAAAAGTTTTCATAAAAGGCAAAATAACAAAGCTCTTACAGAGAAAACCCGAGCCAGGGGCAAGAGGTTCTTGCTCCTGCTAAAACACCTCACAAAAGCCATTAGTTCCTTTGTTCTCTTCTTTTTCTAGTGAATTGCTCAGGCAGGACCTCTTGGCCTCTGTCCAATTGGGTATCCTTAAGTCTGAGGTGAAGTCCCCAAGGTCCTATGAGGTGTCTTTTTACCCAACTGAGGAGAGAAACTTCTGGGCCTTTTTCCTTTTTAAGGAGACAAAGGATAATTTGGTCATTCCATCAGCAGGGGACACATTCCTACAAAGGGGAAATGCCCTAGGGACTCTGGAGCTCTTCCCACTTGTGTTAGGGTCTGGTTATTGAAATTATAATTAGAGATGCCTCTGCCCTAGTCAAACTGCAAACAGATGATAGTCTGGAGTTTATTGGATAGTAAATATGAGAGGGAGAGAGAAAAGAGAGAAAAAGCAAGGGAAAGAAATGGAAAATAGGTGGGGGGAACAGAAAGAGAGGGACAGAGACAGAATAAGGAGAAGATCCCCATCCATGATTGATCCCATCGGTCCCCTGCAGCTGGTCTTGGTGGTGGAAGTCCCCCAGAAGCACAGAATGTGATGGGTTAACACAGCTCAGGGGATAGGAAAGCCCAGGCAGGGCTGGAGTTTGCCACTGCCTGCTGCCCCAGAGCCCTGGTGTGCTGCAAGGCCCCAGCATGGCCCTGGGGAGCACTCGGGGCTCTCTGACGGGTTGTGACACCCCCTGAGCTGCTCCTCACGTGGCTATCCCATGGATGTGCCTTCCAGCACTGGGCTCCCCTGCTGGGCCGGTTCCTGTAAGGGGGGTGGGTGTTCACTGCCCCTGAGCAGAGGGACTCCAAAACCTCCTCATTTCCCCTCATTTTGGGGGACCAAACCTGGCTCCTGTGGGCTCTGGTGTCCCCCACCCCAAACCCAGCCAGGGAAGGGTCTGTGCTGTGTTTGATTTTCTGGTGGGTGCATTCCTCCCCCTCAGCCTTGTTTCTTTTTCTTAATCATTTCCTAGGAAATTATTAAGGAATGGGTTTCCCTTTATCCAAATTAGGTTTCATTTACAATCCAGAGTCCCAGCCAGGCATCTTCAGGGAGGCTTCTCTGGCTGTTCCTTCTTTATCCAGTTTTGTTACAGTGAGCAAAACTTTCTGTCAATGTTTGAGGCATGATCTGTTTCAGTCTCTCCAGCCCCAAACCCAGCCAGGGAAGGCTCTGTGCTGTGTTTGATTTTCTGGTGGGTGCATTCCTCTCCCTCAGCCTTGTTTTTTTTCCTGGGCCTGAGGTGATTAAGGAATGGGTTTCCCTTTATTTAAATTAGGTTTAATTTACAATCCAAAGTCCCAGCCAGGCATCTTCAGGGGGGCTTCTCTCCTTCTTTCTCCAGTTTTGTTACAGTGAGCAGAACTTTCTGTCAGTGTTTGAGGCAGAACTGTTTCAGCCTCTCCAGCCCCAAGCCCAGCCAGGGCAGTCCCTGCTGTGTTTCTGGTGGATGCATTGCTCCCCTCAGCCTTGGCTGTTTGAGGGGATTGAAGGATGGTTTCCCTTTATTCCATCCCTGCAGTTTGACTTCCAGCCCAAAGCTCTCCAAGGAGATTTCTGTGCCTGTGGCTCCTGTTATAAATACATATTATATTGTTGGCTTTTTGCACATATTATATGTATCATGTTAAAATAACTTTGCTTTTATTTCTACTCTTAACAAAAACTTAGATATAATAATAATAGTAGCTAATATAGTTATTATTAGCTAATATAGTTATTATTAAGTTATTAATAGTAGCTAATATAGTTATTATTAAGGTTTTTATTAAGATATTAATATTATTAGTTATAATTTATATTATTAATATTAATTACTGGTATATATAATATTATCTATTTATAGAGTGAACTGTCTGTTTAGTTAACATCCAGTAAACATGTAATGAAGACCCTACTCAGTATCAACATCTACTGTCTCAAGAAAAAAAAGCCAAAGCCCAAGCTAGAATAAAGAGAATAAACCAAAACCACAACCAAAAAACACACTCCAAAAAAACAGACCCAAAGAAGTATAGAACAATATAAATACATATGTCTATGAATATACAACAAGCTAATGGAATAGAAAAAATATTTAAGAAATATCTCCAAAGATAAGTGTGCTTTTAATTAAATACCAAACACCCAACTGTTTTTAACCCTTTGCTTTATTTCTATCTCCTACTATCTTTTTTATTAAATATTATTCCTTTATTAAACAAAGGAATAAAATACCTTAAAATTTAAAAAAAAAATTAAATTTTACCAAAAAAAGTAAACCTTGCTTTCCACATCTGCTTTATCAGTTCTTGTAACAAGGAGCAGAACTTTCTGTCAGTGTTTGAGGCATGAACTGTTTCAGTCCTGGGAGCCCCCAGCAGCTGTGGTGTTAGTGTTCAGGAACACAAAATCAGGGAATGATCATATGCAGGTGCTTTTATTGAAGAGCTTTGGGTGTCAGGGGCACAGACCCAAATCTGACTCTGACATGGGTTCAGGATGAACACGTTTTTATACCCTTATTGTTATATAACTACATATTAATTATTAAACTTATATTGTTCTATTGCATACATTGATTTCATCTGAGCATGGGTTTTTGTAATCTCCATCAAACCCCCCAAACATCGTTTCTCATGATTCCTGTTACAATTAAACAATAATTCTATCCAATTACTGTCGCAATACGACACGAAACGAACGACACTCACACGCTGAGATGTCCAAGGCAAAAAAGCACTTTTATTTCTGGACCTCGATACTTATAGAATTCCAAAAGTGACCATGGATTGGAGGATGAAATTGCCACCTCTCCAACCACACTGGTCAAACCAACAGTCCATCAATTCTCTCCTCTTCCAGAAAGGAATGCAAAGCAATCACTATTTACATGAACTTGCATGAGAAACTCCATCACAAAAATGTAAACATCAGAAGGCTTAGAAGAACTTTAGAAGAACAGGGCAACACAAGTGCCAAACAATCATTGTGTTTAACAATCACATCATTTATCATTTAACAATCATATCATTTATCATAGTCATTAAATGATTATACAGGTGCAGTTTTGCATGATCCAGTAAAGCCTAACATTTTCCCAGGGCCTTCCTCTTGTATTTGCGGGGTTCCCAGACGAAGGGAGGAATGATGACTCTGACTCCATGTTCTTGAAGGCTAATTTATTATTTTATTATACTGTATTATATAAAAGAATACTATACTAAACTATACTAAAGAATACAGAAAGGATACTTAGAGAAAACTAAAAGATAATAATGAAAACTCGTGACTCTCTCCAGAGTCCCGACACAGCTTTGCCCCAGTTGGCCAGTGAGTGAAAACAACTCACAGCAGAATCCAATCAGGCAATTGCCTGTGGGCAAACAACCTCCAAACAAATTCCAAAGCAGCAAAACACAGGAGAAGCAAATCAGATAATATTGTTTTCCTTTTTCTCTGAGGCTTTTCAGCTTCCCAGGAGAAGAATCCTGGGCAAGGGGATTTTTCCAGAAAACATCATGGTGACACCTACCAGGCCCAACCTTTTTCCAGCTCCTCTGAATATCCCATGATTTTAGAGACGTTTTATCCCTGTACTGTCAGTGGGATAACGCATTCCCTGCTTTTCCATGGCAGAGCACCTGTGATCCAGTGCCAAACCACTCGGAGAGCCTGAGCCACACTGTGACCGTGCCCCTGCAGGCCCCGCTGGGGACGCTGGAGGAAATCGCCTGCTGACCCCTCCCCACCACAGTGCCCATCCCAAGGAAGGAAAACTGCACAGGGAAAACAGGGACCCAGCTCAGGTTTGCACTGGGGGGAAAAAAAAAAAAAAAGATGGAAAAAAAAATACTGGAAAAAAATTATTGGAAAAAAAATTATTTTAAAAAATCTATTAAAAAATAAAAAAAAAAAAAAAAAGATGGAAAAAAAAAATACTGGAAAAAAATTATTGGAAAAAAAATTATTTTAAAAAATCTATTCAAAAATAAAAAAAAAAGAAGAAGAAAAACTCGCTATGCATTAAAAGAATATAAAAATAATATAAAAATATAAATTCTAAATATACTCTGCCCAAAGTGAGAGGCGCCTTGGACCTGACTCCTGTTGTCCTTTCCTCCTGGGGGTTTGGCTCCAACCTGGGAAGCAGCTCCCAGGCTGGGAGAGCTGGGAATGTTCACCTGGAAAAGGGAAGCTCAGAGAAGAGAAACCTCAGAGCCCCTTCCAATGCCTAAAGGGGCTCCAGGAGAGCTGGAGAGGGACTTGGCACACGGGATGGAGGGCCAGGACACTTTTTGGGATTGTCCAAGCCTGAGCAGCAGCAGCAGCAGCAAATCCCAAAGGAAGCATCCCAAATACCCTGAGCACTGCACGCCAGGGCTTTTCCTGGCCCCGGGATTCCTCAGCTGCCTCTCTCAGCTCTGTTCCTCTTTGCAGTCCCTGGGTTTCAGTACCAGAAGGAGCATCCCAGAATTCTCCATTCCCAGCGCCATAGGCTGAGAGTTTTACAATAAAGAGATCCCAAAGTCGGCACTCTCGGATTCTTCTCCCGGTCGCGTCCTCTGGGTGAGGTTGGGCTGAATCCCGAGCTCAGCTCAAGGTGAGCATCCCTGGAGAGGAGCCACAGGGATCCCTATGGATCATCCCAGCCCTGCTGTGCCTGCAGAGTCTGGGAGCAGCGGGTGGGGTTGGGTTCATTAATTTCTTTAATTTTTGGGGGGAACTTTTGGAATTTTCTTCTTCTCCCATTCATGGATTCTGTGCTTTCTCCTCGTTCTCCTGACTGATATTAAAGCTGGTCTTGTGGAAATGGCCAGGCTGTGTCATTCCTGCCTTGCCCTCATCCCCAGTGGGAGGGCAGATCCCAGGAAGGGCCTTCCCAGGGCTCTTCCTCATCCCTTCCCCCTCCTTTTCCTCTCCCACCACGTCCTGACACAGCTCGGGATGGGGTGGGAGTGGTGTCCTGGCCATGCTCAGCTGCATCCCTGTCTTCCCTGGGATGGGATCTCCAGGATGTGCTGGGATCTCTGGGATGTTGTGGGATCTCTTTGCTGACAGAGGTGTTGGAAACCTCTCAGTGATGTTTTGGGATTGTTCAGTCTGGAGAGGAGGAGCTTTGGGGTGACATCACTGAGGCTTCCAGTGCCTGAAGGGAGCCTGGAAAAAACATGGACAGGGACTGGGGACAAGGGATGGAGGGACAGGACACAGGGAATGGCTCCCACTGCCAGAGGGCAGGGATGGATGGGATCTTGGGAATTAGGAATTGTTCCCTGGCAGGGTGGGCAGGCCCTGGCACAGGGGGCCCAGAGCAGCTGTGGCTGCCCCTGGATCCCTGGCAGTGCCCAAGGCCAGGCTGGACATTGGGGCTGGAGCAGCCTGGGACAGGGGAAGGGGACAGTGCCATGGCAGGGGTGGGAATTCAATGATCTTTATGCTACTTCCAACCCAAACCAGTCCAGGACTCTGGGATTCCAACTTTTCCTTTACTGATCCACTTTAACTGGCTCCAAAGTGTAACAAGAAAATCCATTTCCATCTGAGTGCATCCCAAAATGTGTCAGCAGTGGCTTCACCCCTGGATCCAGGCACTGAGGGGCTGCTCTGCCCCATCTCCAGCACTGAGAGAGACCTGGGGATTTTAAGAAACACTCTCAGGGAGAGATGAGGGTCTGAGGGGCCTGGAAAAGGGCCCTGAGCCCTGATGGAGAGGGATGGGGGGAGATTGCATTTTTGATTCCAAACTCCATCAGGATCAAGTGTTCCTTTTCCAGAAAAAAAAAAAAAATATATAAACATCAGAAGAAAACTGTGAGGATTATTTGGGGATTCAGAAGAAACAACCAAAGTTCAAACTTCCAGCACAGCCCCAGCTCTGCTCAGTGCCCCATGATTTTCCAGAGAAAAAGGAAGCTCCATTATTTGTAGTAATTAACCCCAAGCTGGCTTGGAGCACATTTCAAGGAAAAGAAAAAGGAGTGGAAAAGGCACTAGTAGGTCCATCCTACCTGTTTGGTGTTGGATGGATCTGCCCAGGGATGGAGCAGGGAGCAGGGATGGGAGCAGGGATGGAAGCAACCATCAGCTCCCAAAACCCCCAAAATCCTGATGGAAAAAATGAAAAAAGAATCCCCATGGGAGATGAAAATCCCATGGACAAGGTGGGAAAATCCAGAGTGGGACTGACTGGGGGGTTTGGCTGAGCTGCAGCTCAGGAAATTCAACCTCAACCACAAATCCATCAAACAAAGCTGGAATTGCCATCCCAAGGGATAATCTCCCTTGGAGCTCCTCAGGGATGGAGCACTGGGTCATCCCCCAGCAGGGCCCCAGGGCTGGCACAATGAGGAGAATCCCACGGGAATGCTTCAGGAGGAAAAGCAGGAGCAGAACCAGCTCTGAGAAGGGATTTCTGAAGTGCAGCTGTGTTTTTGGGGAATGGGAGAGCTCAGCTTGGCATGGAGAAAGCTGGAGCCCAGGCCAGAGCACATCCCTGGGATTTGTGGCCCACCCACCACATCCCTGACCAGCTCCCACAGCTGTGCTCCCACAAGGAGCAGGAAAACACCCAGGAAATGCTCTTGGAGTCGCCTCCACTTGCTCAAGGTCACCCAAGCACCTCTCCCTATTCCTCCTTCACTGCCAGCATTCAGAGGCTCCTCCATCCCACAGGATGCTCCAAGGACCAGCACTTCATCATTGCTGGGAATCACCAACTGTGAAGGACATTCCATGGTCCATTCTCCCTGCTCCTCCCCCGAGCCTGCAGCAAGGACAGCAATTAGAGACAATTAACAGGAATTTTTAGCAGGAAAATTGTCCTTGTTTTGTGTTAGTTTGGGCAGGAAGAGCCCAATCCCAATCCTAACCCCAATCCCAATCCCAGCCCTAACCCCAACCCCAATCCCAATCCTAACCCCAACCCCAATCCCAATCCCAGCCCCAACCCCAATCCCAATCCCAATCCTAGCTCCAACCCCAATCCCAACCCCAATCCCAATCCCAGCCCCAACCCCAATCCCAACCCCAACCCCAATCCCACCCTGATGGGAATCCTTGTGATGGTTCCTCTCCCACCCCGTGGTGGTTTCTGAAGGTTTTGTTGCCTTCTCCCCTGCAAGAGCTCAGTGATGATCCATTAGCTCCTGGAATTTCTGGGAGCCACGGTCGCTGTTTCCTTGGCTGTGTCTGATGAAGCATGCTTCATGTCTGACTCCAGTTTTAAGCTCTCAGAAGCTTTTCCCTCCCCCTCCTGTGTTTCCCAGCGTCTCCATTGTTATTCCAGGCAGGAACATCCCCCAGCCTCCTTAAAGAAATCATTCCACACTCCGCAGGGTTCCTGCTCTACCTGAGCTCAGGAGCAGCCCTGGAGCACACCCAGGGAAACTTGCAGAGTAAAAATCCCTTTTTTCCATCAATTTCCTGCAGGAAAATGTGACAGGAGAGGAGCAAAGTGGAGCAAGACCAGGTGGGGAGATTCCTGGAAATATCCCAGTGATTTTTCCCAAGTCCTAGGGCTGGGACTGCTCAGGTGCAGGTTTGTCCTGGTTTCCCACATTCCATGGAGGACATTGGTCATCCAGAGGCTCCCTGATGGGATTTTGCTCCTTAAGGTAATTAATGGCTGGAATTCTTGAATTCACAACTGGGAATTTCACCATCCAACCAGAAATCGTTGCTGTGGGAGCAGGAGCACCGTGGGCTGTTTCCATGAACAGGAACTGCAGGAATAACCCTGGCAGGGTTTGGGGCTGGCACAGGAATGTCCAGAAGAAGGGAAGCAGCCACCGGGAAAATCCCAGCAATCTGATCCCAAAATAAATGTGGGATGAAGGAATCTGGAGAGGAGCCCCCAGGGAACACCACATGGCATTGCTCTGCTCTTCACCCCCCTCTGGACTGACCCTGACTGGATCCCACCTCTCCCAAATCCCTGAACCCCCAGGAACAGGCTCTAAGACCCTCCAGAGCACTGGGATTTCAGACCCAGTTGGATTTTCCCAGTTAAACCCTTGGCTGGAATTCTGGGAAGCTGCTTTAATTTGGATAATCCAGAAGTGTCACTCCAACTGAAACTTTCATGGAAGCAGCTTTAATTCCATTTTCCATCCCCCTTCTTGGCAAGGGGCTTCCCAAGACCCCCAGAGCCTTTTTCCATCAGGATTCTCTAAATAAGGAATGGGAGCACTGCAATTTGTCACCTTCCAGCCCATTCATGAATTCACACCCAAACCCCAACCTCGGGGACACGAGGAGTGCCCAATTCCCATTCCCACGGCACAGCAGTGACAGGAATGTGGCAGCACCCTGGGCTGCCTTGGCTGGACAGAGCTGAGCCACAGCTGCTCCTGGAGCAGGAAAAATCCACAAAAAACCGAAGTCCGAGAGCAGCCCCGGGCCAGGATTGGAGGCAGAAACGAAGAACAGTGGAAACATCAGCCACTTCCAACAGGGATTTCTGCAGCTGCAGCCATGGAAAACCATCCCCAAAGGGGCCTTGTCACCACCCAGCAGCAGCCTGAGGAGGAAGGAGCTGCTCCAGGGGCTGGGAAGAAGCATCCCTGCGAATTCCCTGTTTGTTGGCTGAGAACAGGATTCAGCTATTTAATTATGGATGAGAAAATAAGAGATAATGGACGGATTTACAAGCAGCACTTTGTCATGTGGGGCACCCATGAAAAATTCAGGAGCTCAGGAAGTGCTTTTTTCCCTGCACAGAATTCCCAGCCCTCCCCTCACAGCCAGGCTGGAAAATGCTCTGCCAGGACCTGGAAACAACATTCCTAAGAGGCTCCCAGTTTGTAGCTAAACTGCACATTAAATATTCCAAATTTGTGCCTGGTTCCCTGTGGGAGAGAACTCCCA